CCAATCCCCTGTGAATACCGGGGGAGGACTTATATATACACACGCACATTCAATGACTTTTATTTCCAAACAGGTTGATGAAGGAAAAGGAAGAGTTAATTCAGAGTTACATGAATCAAATTAGTTATTCTTAATTTTCTTCATTTGATCTTCCCTCCTGTCATATAATGAAAAATAATAATTTTCAAAAAATGAGTATTATTTTATTCTGTACAAGTACTTCTTAATACCTTCATTACAAATACTCTATTGAAGCAGAGATATTCTCTCTCAAATGTTCTATATTATCAAAGGTTATACTTATTATCAAGAAATAGATTTGAGAGGACACAATTTCATAAAAGTCTTTAAAATTAACAATAACTTGTTAAACATAGCTAAATATTAACTTGCTAATTTGAATTGAACAGAGATACAGAAAAGCAAGCTAAGCAACTTCTGTCATCCATCATTTGTTTATACAAAACTACAATAAAAAGATAAATGCAGCCTAATTAACATCTAGATCCTCAATAATTCAGCATTCATCCAATATTGAGAAATTATATGTTATGACATATATTCATAAAAAATATTAAGGACTTTGTTGCAGACCTGTGTTGGAAATTGTTCTGGAATGCAGTTTATTCTCACATTGACAGGATCATTTATGTCATTTGGACAATTTCCTGAACCAGAAGGATATGGAGTCGCAGCTGGACTTGAAGTAGAATCACTAATTTCTGGGAGGGGAAAAAACTCAATAAAATAAACATGACACTAAATTAATTTTTTCAGGTTTTTAAAGAAATTAATATTTCATGAAAGAATACATGAATCTATATATGCTAGAAATTGAAAAATATATTTTGTATTAAAAAGGACCCACATACTGAAGCCTTAGTTATCAAAAGGAAAAGATCCAAATAATGCAGAAATTGACAATGCAGAATCCTATTGACTGTTTCTTCAGAAAAAAATACATTCTCAGAAGATCTTGGTGTAGATTCAAAAGGAAACAAAATATACATTTGCACCCCACTTAGCATTTGTGTTTTATAGCTGGAAAAAAAAAAAGATAGAGAAACATGGATTGCAAAAAAAAGGTGTAGATAAGGAGACAACAAACTAGAGAACAGAAAAATAGGAGGAAGAAGATACTTTAAAGGGAATAATTTGATAGGTAGATAAGAGAAAGCCAGAATAATGAAGAAAAAGAGATCCCGACTCTATAGAAAGAACATTCTAGGAATCAGATACGGGTAAGACAAAACTGATTGCTTCACAACACAGAGAGCTCTCGGTTGCTGGAAGATGGTAAAACAAAAGACTAACAGCAATGGGAAATGCTAACTACAGTTAGACTAAAAGATAATATGTAACATCCTTTACAATTCTGATTTTGTCAAGAGAGAATGATGAAAAAAGAGATTCGGTAGTCCAAAGTAGTATGCACCAAGATAAATTAGGATAGAGATATTTAGAAAAAAAAACAAACACCTCAAGCCTGTTTTCACCTTCCTTCTACCTGCCTTTCTCATACAATCTCTCTCTCCTTAAAAAAAAAAAAAAAATTGAGCCAGGACAAAGAATATTCACCAAAATCCCCATCTCCTTTGCAAATGTATAAAGGCCAGAACAAAAACCCAGGCTTTTCCACTACTGAGACGAATCTCATTGCCAACAGTAAGCGATCATTCCACCTTTGTTAACAACTTGATCCCTTTGCCTCTTGGGTCTTTCTTAAACAACATAAGTAGGAAAGGCAATTAATATCAGTGCATGTGGATTCCTTAATTACAATGACTATTCATTAAAATAACCGGAACATAATGGAGAGAAAAAGTTGGAGCAATTGTGTAACTTACCCTAGATCTTTCTACATCTGTTTTGTCTCACATAGATTATTTTTAAAAATCAATAACTACTGTGGAGTAACTTTCTCTTAACTTCACTATAATGTATAAATATTTTTAATATGACTTACCTTCAACAGCAGGTGTCCTCGTTGCTAAAACAACAACTAGGGCAATTGCTATTATGGTAACTATGGCAAAGAGGACAATCAGAGAGATTTCTAAGCCACTAAATTTCTTTCTTGCCATCTAATGAAAGAAAAGAATAGGTATTTAAAATGTAAAATATGTAACTATAATAAACCACCATCAATTATCATCAAATTCATTCTTTTTTTAAATAAGCCCAATGCAAACAAAGCTGTAGACAGCTCTATTA